TAATTCTAAATTATGTTTTCATTTGCTGATATCTATCTATATCTCACCCTGTCTTTATGTAATCATGCACTGACAGGCATTTAGGTTGTGATAATGTGTGATAATGCTGCAGTGTATATAAGGGTTCACAAGTGATTATTGCTGGAAGTAAAAGTCCTAGCATTTAGCATGAATGATGGTGGGGTGCTAGATTATATTGAGGTGCATGGTATTCTTCATCACTCAGGAAAAAAGTCATTTTCACTTAGAATTCCTTGCTATAGTTGTGAACTATGGATTTTAATGACTGGCCCTCTTAAAGTTTCTTATTGTCATATATGAACTAGTATGTTAAAATATAGTTACATAAAAAGCACCACTGAGACATGATATTTATCTCAGAAAAAAATGTGCTGCCTTTATTTTTGGGGTTGTGAAGGGAATGAACAACTATTTTTACGAAATTGGTTTGTTGAGAGATTAACATAAACTATGTGTTTTCAGCACATATTGATATTTTCTGAAAACTGAATGAATTGAGACTGACACCTCAATGAAACTAACTGAGAGTATATATTGTTAGCAATACACTTGACAATTTTTTTAAGGAGAATTTTGGAAAATTTGCATCTATTTCTATGAGCTTATCTACTTCCTGGCTTTTTTTCAATGATATCCTGTTGAGATTCTTGGTGGTAATAAGAAATATCCTTTACAATAGTAGATGATGAAATATGCAATATCTGGAAATTCTGCATAACTGTGAATCAATCGTTTTGCAATGATCACTGCACAATATAACACAATCACACTTGAGTAAAAAATTGACTCAAAATGCAAGGTTGACTTAATGTAATAAAAAAGGTCATGGTTATAATTTTACTGGCCCATAAATGTTAAAGACCTTGTGTTTGAAGAATCTCTGATATAATGTTAACGGTCCCCAAAATGACTTCTCTTTAAACAGACAATTTTTTACTAATTTGTCCACATGTTAGCAAGGATTAACTAAAAGTCAAGGTGAAGTTTCACCCCTTGCCAAATTATTTGCACAAACGGAATTTGCCACAGGAAATCATATTTGGCCAATACTTTGTTAGTTGCCATAGAAGCCAACAGCTTTAGGGTATAGTTAGTTCCTCAAGCCAGCACATCTGGGGTACTCATGACAAGAAACCTGATATTCATGATCCATACACTTCCTTGGTTGTGCCTGGGATGTATGCAAACCACAGCGTATAACGTTCCTTCCATTACTACCCAAAAAGCACAGCAAGTGAGAGGTAGGGAAAAGTTTATACTTGATTTCAGTTACTGAAAATACAAATTAAAATCCTACTTTAGTTACTGGTGAAAAACATAACTTTTGTTACGTTGCAGTTGAACGTAGCAGAAACTGAGTCTTCACTATGTGTGAAATCCCACAAAGTCAAAATGTTTGTTGACTTGACATAAACACTTCTTAATAAATGAATATTTAAAAATCTTTTCTCCAATAATTTCCATTGTTATGTAAATTTTGTGTAAGTCAATTGTTTGCCATATAGAAACAAAGTATACATATATAACCAGTCATGTAGTTCCTGGGCTGTTGTACAAAATATTTGAACAAGGGATAATACAACTGATAAAAAAACTGGAAGATTATATTGGCCAGAATTTTAGGTGTTATGTGAAGACTGGGTTAGGACTGCCATTCTGGATGAATGCAGGTGTCCTACAAATAATAAGATTTCAATTTGTGTTCTGCTCATAGCTTTCTTTCGAGTCCACAGGACCTCTTATTGCTTGAATTTCTCCCATTTCCGATATCCGTTTACTTCACTCTCATTGGACTTCTGAATGAAAAAAAGTTGTGTGTGTGTGTGTGTGTGTGTGTGTGAACTGTCTGTGAGTGAAAACCTTTGTTGTTTTCATGCACATAGTGAATTGTACTTAATTATTAATCATCATCATTATAGCATCTGCAATTTGATAATTTCTTTAGAAATGAATGAAAGAATTCTGTTTCTGATACCATTTTTTGATTTCTTTCTTTTTTTAATGTTGAATACTACTGATACATCAGAAAATCCTGTTAGCTATACTTTTCAAGTTATAACCAGAATTTGACTAATTCTTAGTTTACAACTACTTTGGCTCAGCCTTATATGGTCCAGCCTGGTAATTCTGTATGCTGAATTACTATGTTGTCCAGTAATGTGTCTTTCTATATATCCAAGTGGGTCTGTTAAAACTATACTTAATACCTCGAAGAATATCTTCAAGGCATGTCAAGGTTTTCAGCTAGCTCATAATGAATACAATTTGCTTAAAATCCTGAGATTCTCAAGCTTCATCATTTGCTTTCTCTTCCCCACTTACTCGCTTCATCTATGAATCCCTCTGGGTCTTTGTACTTGCTGCTTTACTCACAGAAAATATTCTTGACTCAGTATCCATTTGTCTGGCTCTCTTGTTTCTTTTAGTTCTGATTAATATCATGTTGCCATAGAAAGAATTAACCAGACTATAAACTAATTGCCATTTTTTAGTCAGAATTGTTATGTTAGCCAAAGATGAAGGAATGTTTTAAATCAGATTTTTTGATTTTTCTCTGCCTTTACTTAACTGTGTGTGTGTGCATATCTATATATAGATATGATTTTAGGAATACTTCACATCTCAACATGTACACATACTTAATTCACTCTCTGCTCCTCCATTTATGCTCCTGTGCTATTACTCTACCAAATTCCCTTCCCATCCTCATCAGGTAGCCACTATGTGTTTCACAGAGTGTAAAAGTTATTTCTATTGTATTTTTTGCCAGCTTGCATTCTTCAGTTACTACAAAAGACTAATACCATACAGTTATTATCTTTCATTTTCTGACTTATTTCACTTAGCATAATACCTTCAAATTCCATTCATTACTCCCTAGGAAGTAGTATTTCATCTTTTTTTTTTTTTCATTAGCTGAGTAGTATTTCCTTAAGCATATATGTGATGTGCATCACATAATATGTTTATCGAGTTGTCTGATGAACAAAGCGATTTGACTGTTTTCCAGTTTTGTCAAAGGTGACACAGGAATAGTACCATTCTAGATGCGCAGGAGATAGGATAAGTAATTCTATACTATGGATGCCTTGGGCTTATTAAACTTTAGTTCTCTCACTTTACAGTCATTGTCCAGATTCAACTACTTCCTCATATCATTTTTTTTATTGGTGTGGTATTGTATAACCAATTAAATGTGTAGGTGTATATGCATATGTATATCATAAATTAATATAATTCATTTGTATCTGTGTATGTATACATATATTATATATACCTATGTGTTATAGACCTGTATATGGAATTTTTTGTCTTCTTTTTTTTTCTTTGTATATTAATAGTCTGGTTTCCTCAATAAAATGTAAACTTCATAAGGTATTGACTGCCTGTTTTGCTTTATTCATTGGCTTTATTCACTGTCTATAACATAGAGTTTTGAAGATTGTTTGATAAGAACTGGAAGGTTAATAAATATTTTCATAATGAATTCAAAAGTGAATTTCCATTTTTCTTATAAGCAGAGTATAAATTCCCTGTGACAACTAGGTCAATTGAAAAAGTCTGCATTTAGTAACCATTTCTGCAACTTGGGTTTTTATCACTCTAAAACTAGAATTCAGCCTAAGTTATCCAAATTACAAACCTCTTAAGATAACTTTATTTGAATAACACTAATTTATATCATATTTTAGGCTTTTGGTTTACACTTAGTATCTCTGTTTATAGAGTGCTCCAGACAATGGAGTCTCAGAATAAAGAGATCATATTTGCACTATCTTTGAAATAGTTTGCTGGAGCACATGTTTGGCATTTAATAAAAACAACTATATAATTAATAAATGAAGTGTAGAAAGGTATAATGAGTTTAATAAGATTCTGTTCTGTTTTAGTGATGTTTAACTTGCAATTTATAAAGTGATTTAATCAATAACTCCCTGGGATATCTATGTGTTATGAAGAGAGTTGGATTTAGAGTTTCAGTATCTGAATCTTAATTTGAAATTCTTCATTTTGGCTGAGTCACTTAGCAGCTCTAAGTCATAATTTCTACACGGGACTAGTGCCAGTTACATAAATCCCCTCCCAAAGGTAAGTATAAGAGAACAAATATGATTGCTTATAATAAAGTTTTGGCCTATGCTGTAAAACTATTATTACTGCTATTTTAAATAATTTAAAAGTTAAAATTTTTTCAACCTCATTAAACATATTAACAATCTAATAAATATATTTTACCATCTATTTCCCTTAAGGTAATAAATACGCCTGATTCAAAATAAGCAAATAAGTAAATGGTAGTAATCGTTGTTACATTAATTACTTCAACCTTGTTTTTTCAAATTTGAAAAAAAAAAAAAGTTTTTCCCATCAGTTCATTCCCTGGATTCAAAACTGTGTTAGAATTGCATAGTCTTCTCATCATTTCAAATAATTAAATGAATTATTTTGGAATAATATTACAAAACCCCAAGACTATCCTTTTTGATTAAAACTTATTTATTTCCTATATCACCCTAAATAACCTTCTTATACCTTCAGATACCCCCTCTTATACCTCCAGGTACCACATGGGATCTAAGATCCCCCTCTCAATACTCCACTTTGCTTCTATTCACTGTCTTTCAAAGTTACCTATGACTCTTTTATTGTTGTTGTTTGGGGAAATGCTTTTATAGATAAGTGAGCAATTCAATAAGGGAAAAATTAAGACATTTAACAGCATACAGGCAACAGAAAGAAAATGTTGTTCCTTTAATTTTCAGTTTCTTTAATATTTAACAGACACATCTTTATTCAAACACAATAATTAAAGCAAGAATACAAGATACCACAGTATAAAGCTATAGTACTCTCAGCACTCCTAACTACTACATAATTTTACAAACAGAAGAGCCCAAAGTGGCTACAGTATTCAAAGATTTCCCATGCTGAGAACATGAAGAACCCCCAAATGTTTAAGAAGTAGATTGTCTACTCACGAGGATATAAGTCAAGAGATCTGTCCATGCTTGCTGATTTGGTGCTGTTGGGATGTTGGACAATGTTCTGATTCTCCTCATATTGAACAAATAGTGCAAATAAAACAATCATAGTGATCTCCAGGCCAAGGGCCAGAAGAGGGAATTTGAACCTCATGTTTGTGGTAATGGACAGAGCTACTAAGGGCTTCACAGGCTGTGTGAAGGTTGATAAGAACTGAGGGACTGCTCTGTGTGGAATTATGGTGCATATTCAAGGCACTCCAGTGATATCACAAGAAAAAAAAAAGGGCCATACTGGTGAAAATGTCCCACCCATTGGGGAGAGTTTTATTCTGTAACTGAATTGTTATTCTAAAGACTGTTTTAAAAATATACAATATGGATTTAAAGAATCTGTGTGATAAAAGAGATCTATTACAAAAAAAGCATCTGGAACCCTATTTAATTTAGTTAATTAAACATTACTTGAGTACTTACCATATGACAGACACTGAGGAGACACAAAATTAAACACGTTATAAAATAAATTCCTCAAATTTCTTGAGGAAACTAAGAACCTAGTTAGGAAGGCAGAAGTAGAAGTATGATTAGGTAAAAACTATAATAATATTTATAAAAGTATTATGAAATATAATTAGGATAATAAGGCATTTTGTGGTGGGCCAAGAACACAGCATACAAAATAATACTGACAGACAAGGGAATAGCATAAGGGTTGCAAGAACAAGGAATCTTGAAGAACAGAAAGTAGTTAAATAAAGCTGGAGTGTCAGAGAGAAGGGGAAAGAGAAAGGGAATGATTTGGATGAAGGTTTGTGAAGGGTATTTTACACAAAACTAAAGATACTAGATGTTGAATAGCAGACCATGGAAAGGGGAATTTATTGACTACTCAAAAAATTGGTTTTGTTGGGGCTTCCATGGTGGCACAGTGGGTTAAAACAGAATACTAAGAAGCTAAAGCCACTTCAGCATGAGTTGGAACCCGAGCCCTAGAGGTGACCCACATGGTGCGGCAGACCTCTCCTGATCCTCCCACTGCTCCCCTCAGTAGTGTACATAACCAGTCTACTTGTTCTGCTCCCCACTCTGTCTCTGGTGAAACCTCTCACTTCTCCTATACCTCTGGCCTATACCCCAGTTTTTCATGCATAAATAAATATTTTTTTAAAAATTGGTTTTGTTTTTTTTAGGATCAGTTTTTTGTTGAAAGCTTACTTTATTCAAATGTAAATAAAATGAGCACACAAATATGTTAGAGGATGTATTTTTAGCCCTAAAGAAAAGATGTGGCTTATAATTTTCTTTCTTTGCAAATTTGTCACGTGTAAATGAGAGATGAAGCAATTCAAAATTACCACAGTAGTATTTTCCTTCATACTGTAAATGTACTCACAATACAACCGACTTTATTTGCAGATGGCATAATTATATACATGAAAAGTCCAAAAGACGCCATTAAAAACTCATTGAATAATAAATTGAGTAGTACTATGTAGTACTGTGTAAGTTACTTCTAATGTCAACAACGGACATAATCATAGTGCAGTGATTAAAACCAGATTATCTAGCATGGGAATAATGCTACTAATGAAACTCCAGAATTTTTTTTTTTTTAAGATTTAATTATTTATGCATCCAGATCTGGGATATAGGCCAGAGGTGCAGGGGCGGTGAGAGGATTCATCAGAGAAAGAGTGGGGAACAGGCAGAACGACAAAGTACACTGCTAAGGGGAGCAGTGGGCTTCTCAGGAGAGGTCTGCCACGCCATGTGGATCACCTCCCTGGCCAGGGATCAAACTCATGCTGAAGTGGCTTTAGCTTGTTGTGCTTTAACCCTCTGTGCCACCAGGGAGGGCCTGAAACTCCAGACTTTTTAACAAGTGCCCTTTTCTGTTCCAAGCTTTCACCCAGAATCTCATAATTTTATCTATTCATCATGATTTTTAGTAATATCCTATAATCTACAATGGGTTCTCAGTCTTTTCTTGCCTTTCATGACTCAAAGTTTTTGAGGGACACTGGTCAGGCACTTTGCAGAATTTCCCTCAATTTAGGTTTGCCTGATATTTTTCTCATGATAAACCTGGGGTTATAGATTTAAGGCCAAATGCCAAAAAGGTGAAATGCTCTTCTCATCCTATCTTATCTGTAGGGAATGCAGAACATATATGTATATGGTTACTAGTGCAGTTAGCCCTGGTTACAGGTAAAGAGGGAGAGAAGTTTAAATGTCTAAAAATATTTATTCTACACTGTATTATCAAAAATGAATTATATCTTTAATAAAAAATTGACAAAAATGAATTATTGTTAATTATTTTGCCCTTTGAACTACTTACTCATCTTCTTAAACCATGGACTAATTTTTAAAAAGGTGTAAAATGTAAAATTTAATCAGGAGAAGCAAAGATATTTCTATCTTGTGTCCTTAACACTACAAGGTCCTAAAACACAAATTCCTGTTAACATTATTTTACATCTACAGGGTAGTTAGGAAGACAGAGCTTTCTCATATTCTTATACACAATAAAACTAGCAATCTTAGCTCAGAGCCTGAAAGATTTTCTGACTGAAGACCTTAGTATTTAGATCTAAATACATTTCAGAATGGATGTTTGTCACAGCTACCAGAAATAATTCCACAAATGAGATAAATGTACAAAGAACATTCAAGAAAGTACTACTTATCTTCTAGGTTGGTGTCTGGAGTGACTCAGAATGGGCCACACTGTTTTGACATATGGTTGTGAGCTACCCTCCAATACAGCCTGTGCCCAAACTAGGCATATAACTTTTTACCAAGAAGTTTAGTACAGCACCAAAATCTGTGTTCAGTGTATGTCCAGGCTGACTTTGAGGAGTTCACTATGAGACCTGAAGTTCTTATAAGACTCAAAGATGAAAATGTGTATGTCTGCCAGACATACGGTATATGCTACAGGGTCCATGACAGGATTGAGTGTGCTTTTCTTCTGGAAAAGCAGAAAATTGTGGTGAAAGTATTGAAGTCACAGGAGTCAGAAAGCTAATTAAAAGTGGAAACTTAGAGATATTTAAGCGAAAAGCACCCCTTTACCTCTTCCCAGTCCTGAAACCTCAAACCATTCCAAATCACAACTCAGATGTACAGCAGATATTTGTCTTCTAGCAATCATTTTAGAAATTGTCCTTGTATAACTCCACTGAGGAAAGTTTATATTCTTAATATTTGCTTTGACTTATAGTCATACCCTCTTCCTTCAACCCAAATATAGAGAACAGGGAACCTGCCAAACTATGCAAATAAAAAGGTGTCACTTAACATCAACGTAAACAATGGCTGTAGGAAAAAAGCTCTTATTACAGCCTCTGTTACTTTAAAAAACATTTTATAAGTGAATAAAAAAGGGCTATGTCCCATAAATTGTCTTCATAACTTCACTAAAAAGACTGCAGTAGTGTAGCTACTACCCAATGCACAAAATTTAAAAAAAGATACAAGGAGCAAACTGGCATCTGAGCTCCATGAGATCCCGCCTGATCAGTGTCCTGGCGGTTAAAAGAAAGGGAAGTCATGCACACCAGGCCTGGTCTGGAGCAAGCTGCATTTCTAAGATAAGGATGGAGCAGGGGAGCTTCCAGAAAGCATGACAGACCTTTACTTATTTTTCCTTCCAGAACCTGATCTCTTTCCCCACCACATTTATCTTTGCTCTTATCAATGTGCCTCAGCTTGTTGAATTTTAGACACTGAAGTGTCTTTAGAGTAAGTGTGGCATTTTTAATATTAATTAGCATCTGATATCCTCAGGCTTTATACGTGTGCTAATTTATAATCCTTAAAAAGAGTTAAGCAAGGTAGGTTCATTTAATATTGTTATCCTACAAAGGGGACATCCAAGAAACCAAATCACTTCCAAAGTTTAATAGGTTTTAAAAATTCCAGCACCCAAATTAAAATGCAAGTCTTCCTGACTTGGAAACTATTCTTTTTCTTTGGCTAGTCAGTTCAGTGTTCTTGTATTAAATCTTTCAGGTATTACCCACATCCTGTGTTAATCTTTATAGAAAGGCGAACAGTTTTATAAGCATATATATACATGTCTATATATATTTATAGATGCATATATATTCAAACACATATATACGTATATATGTGTCTATAAATACATAGGTATGTAGTTATACACAATTTTAACTTGTGAGAAGTTATGAACAAATTTGTTCTTTTTAAATGATGTATATCATAAAGTAAAAGGGAGTATCTATATAAAGTAAAAGGGAGTATCTATTCATTCATTCCCACTATATCATTATTGAGGTGAGGATATTAAGTTTAGTGTTTATCATTTTGCTCTTCCTGCATATTCCTGATGTCTTATTACTAGTGAAGTTAACCTTGGTTAACTATCTCTAGTTATAAAAATACTATAATAAACATAAAAATGATCTTATATCTTATTAATATCAATAATAGTATAATATTCTTACTCTATTTAGTGAAATAGAATGACAATTTTTGGGTTATAATATTAAAATTATGCTTTCGACTCCATTAATGCTATATTCATGGGACTAGGGATAAAAATAGTGAATACAATAGAGGTGCTATCCTGACAATGCTTTAGTTGTGTGGGAAGTGAAGATAATGAACACAAGCTTTAAATATAATTCTAGCAGTAATAGTTACAGAAGTAGGTACAAGACAAGAGAGTGAGAGATGCATTTGTGTGTGTATATATGTATGATTGACAGACAATAAGAGAAACAGAGATAGAGAGATCAGGGAATGTTTTAAAAGATTATCAACATTTGAGTGAGGTTAAGTATTCTGTACCCAAATCCACTGGGAAAGGGAGGGATTGTTTTTCACACAATTCTTGGATACCAGGGGGATGTCCTACAATTCAACTCAGTTTTGATACTACCTACCTGGAGAAAGCATCAGATATTATAAAAGATTTTTCTCCACTGTATATGTCAACTTATACCTCCTTATTTTGAAAAAGATTTAGTGTATAATTTCTCAAACATTAGATTGGTCTGTTTCAACCTGCTGTTATCCATTTATTTTATTTTATTTCTAAAGATTTATTTATTTATGCGTACAGAACTAGGGTACACGCCAGAGGTGCAGGGACAGCAAGAGGTTTCACCAGAGACAGAATGTGGAGCAGAACAGGCTGACTGATGAAGTACACTGCTGAAGGGAGCAGCGGGTGTGTCAGGAGAGGTCTGCCACGCCATGTGGGTCACCTCAGAGGTGGGGATTGAACTCAAGCTGAAGTGGCTTTAGCTTTTTAGAGCTGCGCTTTAACCCGCTGCACCATCAGGGAGGGTCCTGTTAACAATTTTAAATGAGACTATAAACAAAGATTTATCAGTGGTAGAATATAATTTTGCTCTTATTTTTTGTCCTTGATAGTTACATTTGTGTATATTGTAAGATAATACCCTTTCTTAAATCTACAGCTAAACTAATGAGGAGGGCTCAAAATGTCAAAAAGCAAAAAGCAACTAAGAGTTGAACTGATTCGGTTTTTGGTTGAAATTTAATTTTATAGGTAAACATTTTGGAAACTTTGCTATGTCTGATCATTTATCTCATTGAGGTTAATTATAAATTATTGCACAAGAATTGTATACATGTGATTCTTAAAATAAGTTGTTTTGAGTCAAGTGCTTTTGTTTAAAAAAGGAGGCCATGCAACAAAAAGAGATGTCAGTATTCTAGTTTATTCTTTATACAGGTGAAAATGGTGTAGTTGGAGTGAAAATGGTGTTATAATTTCTTTTTTTGGTGTGTAGCTTCAGGAATCACATAATTCTTCACTTTTGTCAAAAGTTTTAGTGACCTAAGTCTTATGGTTATGTACATTTCAAAGTCCTCAACTTTTCTAATTCAGTAAGCTTAAAGTACCAAATTTATGTCAAAGCCTAAAGTTGTCATCATATGCCATGCTGTTTTCATAAATCCTTGTATGAAAGGGATCCCATAAGGACCCAAGGGAAAAAAGATGCATTCCTTTTTATAATCAGATTTGTCACTAATACACCTACAATTCCACCTTTGGCATTCATCAATTCAATGATGCAGTCTTTTTCTGCCTAGGTCTACTCAACGGACATTAGTCATTTCAGTAAATTTTGTTTTCACATAGACAAGTGGCCTTGCACTTTTGCTTGAGCAGGTCATGTTCACAACCAGCTGTTTTCTTCAAGGAACTACAGTTGCTAAGGAGATCTTCATACTCACAATTATTGGCTGTAACAAAAACAGATTAGCTACGTAATTATCATTTTTCTTAGTACAAAACAATCTACACATTCAAAGTATAATAGGGGTTAAGATTGGACAAATAAGTCAATGACATTTACGCTATAATAGGTCTTTGGTCTTGAGGGAAATATAAGGTATCTTAGTTGAGTTCACTGATTAATCTACCCTATTTTGGTGATATGATTTTAAACAAATTGACCTACTTTTCTTCTTTAGCAAAGACTAAAAGACTATAAATAAATCCAAAAATGCAGATTCTAAAATGGGAATTACTAGCCACATGTAATAATGTAAAATCATTTTAATTTTTAATTTTACTAGAGATACTTCAAATGTTCAATGGTCATATGTGGCTAACGCCTAGTTTTAAGACATCTACTGATAGACAATATTTCTATCATGGACAGCAAAGAATTAGTCTACAATATTTTCTTTTTGGAGAAAATTTTATCTGTGGAAGATAATGATGTAAAAAAAGACAATATGCTTCTATTCCTTTTAATATTTCTTCTTGGATGCCCTCCTTGGGCCCCAAGCTCAACAGATCAATCTACACTCATCAGGCTACCCACAAGCCTGACCATCAATGAGTAATTATTCTACCCTTCCCAAGTCTCAGTAAAAGAATGCTCTGACTATTCAATATTTTAGGCCGGGTAGTGAATCAATCTTAGTAGCTTTTCTACTTCTGACCAGCACAGGTAACAAATCCTGCCTCTCTACATATTTTCACCTTTTCTTCATTTATTTTGCCAGAATACATTAAAGACATGATTTTTTTTAAATTCCCATTTTCCACAGTTTTCTAGCAACTGTTCCTCCAGGTCATTACTAGACAACTTTCTTTAAATATGATTCTGACTTTATCACTCTTTTGTTTAAAAATTTTCAATTAACTCTTTCTTGCTAATAAATTCCAAACTTTCTTGCAAACAACATTCAATAGAGAATACTTTTTCAACTTTTTCTTCCTTGAGTCATACCTTTGGTGTCATCAACAATCTAAGCTAAATTCAGTCAGAAAAAAAAATGTTAATTTAAGGTAAATACATTTGACATTTACCTCAATGAATGGGTCAAGCTGTGCAAGCTGTATTAATAATTTTAATAAAAGTATCATCTATAAAATATCAACAGCTAATTTTACTTCTATTCCTAACATCTTAGGGAATTATGGTCAAGTCACTTGATTTTCTCTTTTTGAACAATATGTAGGTTCTCTGAGTTAATATTGATAAAGATTGGATTTTATCATTGAAATTATGCACAAAACTATCCAACTACAGTGCAAGTAATTATGAAGCTAAATATGATTTCAATTATACTATAGAAAAAAAGTTAGCATTCAACATGATGAATTCTCTAGAATTATCCTAGACTAGAATCGTAAAGATTAAGCAATAATGTAGTCTCACATCCTTAGATTTATACATTCTGATTCTTTAAAAAAAAAAAAAGTTTTGTTACAAATTTAGCATTGGTGAAATGAGCTATTTATCAGAACCATGGATATTTGATATTAATAGGAAAAATTACATTCTTTCCATTACAAAGAAACTGTAAGTTACTGAAGAATGTGAAATGTTTACTTACCCACTTATACATTTTTACTTACATACTTTGCTGCATGTAAGATTACTATCTTTCTGTCTTTGATATAAAGGCTTTATATTGGTTATTATATTGGCTATTTTTGGCTAGTTCTAAATTTATAAAAAGAAAAGATATTAACTCTTTATTCTAAAGGGAAGATGATCACCAACTTACTACATAGTCCATTGTCACAATTATCAGGGCAGCTGGAACAAGGTTCTCCTTGTTGGTAAGGTGTATTCTTTTTGCTCAGAATATTACCACTGGAATTTAAAATATACAATGTTAACTTTATTTTTTTACCTTGTTGTTTAAAATGTACACTAAAAGCAGTTACGTCACCAATATAGTTATTCAATTAGTTAATAAAATGAAAAATTGTAGTCCTAATGTGTGATTCAGATAAAGGCCAAATTAAATCTGTTATACACTGATCCCTCTCCTTGACTATAATTCTGCAAATTGAGAAACTAATCCTCAAAGTCAGACTATAGATATGAGGCATCCAGGAGGAGAGGGCATAAGGAAGAGGAGGTGGTGGAAAAATGAGCAAAGAATGTAAAATACCAAAAAAAAACAAACAAACAAACAAACAAACAAAAAAACAACAACGAGCAAGAATGTAAGACAATGGTACTTTATTAGAATAAATGAATGAGTAAATAAATGTTGGGACAATTCCAGTCTCTTCATTTTCCAATAGACTAGGTCAAATTGGCAAATTGGTAAATGTGCTGACTAATGTATGTTTTACATGTCTGCTAGAGACAGGAGAGATGGGGTGGGGGTGAAGTTTGCAGTATGGAAATGAATACTGAATTTTACAATATTGGATCATATTTGAAAGATATTAAAAAAAATTATTGTTCTTATATGAACTAGAGAAAGTAAAGCCCCTAAATATACATTTTTGACATCTAGATGGTGCTAGTGAATTTTTGTAATTAATGTTTTTGTTTGTGGTAAGAAAGTTGGAAAATTTTTAAGTTTAAAGAAGTGGTATGTGACAGATTTTCAAGTTTATACAAAAAGGATTATTTTTAAGAAATGGATAAGTAACAATATTAGGATATAGTCACCTCACAGGGTCTAGCTTGTAATTCATGAATAATCAGTATCCTATTAGTCACTTAATTTATTAAAAAAAAAACATAGGAGTGCAAATTTTGTCAAGAGGCCTGTGGCAATGCATTTGAATCAATCTTGTGCATAGCATATTATGTGAGTGTGTGTGAATTCTTGCAATAATTGTGAAATACTTATAAAGGTGTTCTATATTCCTACTTTACCTCCTTATTTAGATTTATTATTACTTTATATGCTTGGTTCGTCTCATAGGTAGGCAGGATAAATTGTGACTATGTAGGATCCCTTAATTCTTTCCATTAAACCCTCATATGAGCTTTTAGGAAAATGACTTTAGAGGCCAACCTTCTTAAATTGGAGATTCATTTACTTGGATTATCTCAAAATACATCCTGCAGGAAGGTCAGTTATGGAAGCCCTCCTGCCTCCGATGGTAAGGAATTAAACATTAAAAGCAATTGAGGCTAACATGTACTGATATTAGATCTTTGACATTTTCATAGGACTTATTGTGAATACCTTTAAACATATTGGTTGAAGAAATAGCACATTTCATGCTATACATAAAGGCCATAAGGAATACTTCATTATATTTTTATTTTTTGTGAAAAATTCTAAGAAACAAAGGCTTACAATGTTACCTGTACATATACTCTGTTTGAGACTCAAGCGTGAATCATTTCTAATGCTAATGATATCGTTGGTTTTTCAGGTAAGTAGGAATAGGGATATGTCAACAGGAAGGGCTAAAATCACAACAGGCTATACCACATTGGCCACTCTCTTGTTTAACAGTTACCAGCCACCTACAATATTAACTTAGTGAGAAGTGATGATACCAAATCTAGAGAAATGCACAGGGACTATCCTGGAGCTGTAGGTGCTAAGAAAAGGCATTTATTTATAAATGGGGAAAGGGAATTTTAGATTTTATATCTGGAACAGTTTGGCCTCTTCTCTGATGACATCTCATATTAAATATGCTTTCTATTCTGATTTGCTTAATAAATGGGAAACTTAAAATATTAAATTGCAGATGGACTTATCAGATAAACTGTCAAGTATACACTTACGCTGGACAATAGTGGCAAACGTAGTAGTATTTCAGATCTGCCTGATTGGGACAATAGGCAATTCCACATCCAACACGGTAAGATGAATACCAAACAAGCTATGGAAGCAAAAGGCATGTGTGAGAGCACATAAAAGAACAGGGTATTTTTTAAATGTAGAAATGGAAAAGTAAAACAAATATTTCCATTTTATTTTCAGTCATCTATCTTATGTTTAATTAATTAATTGAAATAAACTCACAAATTTTTAAAATACTACTGCTTCGTAAGTATCCACAATTTTACCCATTTTATAAAGTTAAAAAAGTACAGAGTGCACTTCCCTACCAAGCATTTTATAGGAGTTAGGAATAAATGACAGCTTTAGATTAAGTACAGAGGCCCAAGGCAATGCACTGGAAGGCAAGGCAAATGCCAGAACTAATACCTAATCAGGCTCTTTCTACAGTTTAAACACTGGAGCTGCTCATAATTTATTTGAAGCTTTTTTATAATTAGAGCATCAATGGCAAAAGTACTTTCCTCTGTTGCCTGCGCTCCTTACTTGAGTATAATGTCCAACGATATCACTGGAACTCTTTGGTCCTGTGCCATATATGAAATTGTTACTCTCATCGTACCAGCTTTGGATTGCATCTGACCAAGAAGTAGGGTCACTTGACATATAGAGATTCTCACCACATTTTGTATCTAGGAAGAAACAGATTATTCATAACAAAAGCAATAAAGCTTGCAAAACAAAAGAAATCAACTATATGAATAAAAGGATGGTGCTGTTTCCATGCCTGCCCATATTTAATTAAAATATAAAAATTATAAAAAAAAGATGCTTCCATTATTCTTCATCAGTTATAAAATGGAATAGAAAACAGATCTGTTTAGCACATGGAGAGAAGACTCAACATGCAAAATTTTAAGTAGGATGAAAACTTACTCATCAAAAATTATTATTCCAGAAGTTACCAGACCACAAGAATAACATTACCACCTTCAGAGAAAGCACACCAGCTGTCTTCCATCTTCTAATTTAACATGTATGAGGGTCAATAAATCCAATATTTTATATTTAATAAAAATATTCTTGTATTCAAATTGTCCAAGATGTATTCTATTTCATACTAAAGTCTTCATGTCTATAATGCCTCATGTGTTCTTGGTTTTGTGTGATAAGCTTGCAAAAGGCAGTGACCAACTTTTCTCTCTCTCATCCTCATTCCCATCTTACCAGAGATTTTCACATATATATCCTTGACTAAATGAGTGTTATTTTGATTTTGTGAGAATTTTGGTTAAGAAAATTTTACAGGCAATCTTTTAGTAACTCCAAGAGGCTACTCTGACTTCAAGAGGAATGGCAGTTTTTAAGGCTTTTGGATCTTTTCAAAATTGATATAAACTTAGTTCAATAAATCAGAATGCCACAAGGCCTAATCCTCTTCAGAGAATTAGACAAAAATGCTCTTGTAGAAGGTGACATCAGTGACATAGTGAGTAGGAGATCCTGGACTTCCCTTTCCCAACATATATACTGATTCAGCAAAAAAAAAAAAAAAATTCATAAAATTATCCTTGTGAGAAACCAAAAAACTAATTGAACTTACTGGTCTCTAAAAAAAAAAAAATATGGAACCATGTTCTCTGAAGCTTGAGCAAAATTGGGACAATACCTTCTAACAGGCACAGAGCCATATGATCAGGACAAGAACCTTAGGCTTCCAGGGAACCTGGATCATGTGCCCAGCAACCCAGCCTTCTAAAGGGACTGTCCAGAGGATTGATTCCTGTCCTGTTAGTCTTGGAACTTATGTTCAGGCACAGGATGAAAATGGAGATGGTGGCTTAGGTTGGTAGATACCATAACTCCTCCTGGCCCAACACAGGAAATATACTGGCTCTCAATGAAGAGTTGATCATTGTGTCCAATGCTCCAATTTCTTCAGAGCTATCCAAAGAACTAACATCTCTCTTGCCAGTCTGGGAGCTTTATTATTTTTGGCATAGTCTAACTGCCCTGTGGAGAAGAGATGGCAGTTTATACTGGCAAATAACACAGCTCCTTCCCTAAGCTCAACAAAGAATACATAAAGGAAAATTCCTCTTTTAATATCTCCCCAAGGTAGGTGAGTATAATGTGCCACTTCACGAGGCATGCCCCAAGAACTGGAATTTTTCTTGTCTATCTTGGAGCTTGGCTGGTTTGGTAGAGTTTAAGCCAGGGAGGACAATAGAGATAGTGATCTGGATTGGTAAATACCAGAACTCTTCCGCCTCACACATAGGTCATACATAACACTTGACTATAATCAAAAAGTTTAAGACTAAAGATTGAAAGAAGACCCAAGATAGCATCAGAGGAGTTCCCCTGGATGGCCATGTAGGTAAGCAGTAGAATACCACATCCAGAAGGTTCCAGGACTTGGGGTAAATGAAGAAAACCTCTTGGACATCAGAGAGTGGACAGACTGACAGAAGGTGTATGGAGATTGATGCATTAAGGAACAACTGGTGGGTGGAGAGCGAGAGCAGCTTGAAGGTTGTGGGTGGGAGAAGGAGACTTCCATAAAAACTACCATGGTACTGTGACTAAGCCAATGGCTTTAGGGTAGGGAGAAAGGGACAATGTGGATGTACACATTCTTGAATGGGGGAGAAATATGTGAAGAGGATCTTGGATGATCCCAGAAAGCCAGATTCCCAGTGAAAGGAACAAGAATATTGTGCTGGGCTTTGCTCCCTCCCCCACCCCTGGGGACTGCATTTATCTGGTAGGTCTCACTGTGAGTGCAGATATAGCAGTCTCAGGTGTGGAACTCTACAGAGGAGTGCTCACAGGGTTAGAAACATGAGCCACGCTCAGTGCTTCTTCCCCATTCCCAAGCATTTAAGACATACTGGAAAGCTACAGAAGATGGGCAGACAAAACACACAGTAGCTTAAAAGCTCAAGGGACTACAATACCTCAAGAAAAGAACTATACTTTACTGTCCAACCAAAAAAGATATAGAAGATTTGTCTTCTTAACAGAGAATTTAACATTGCCATGACAAAATTATTTAAATAGAGGGAAATGTGGATGAATAAGTCAAAGTGATACAAGAGAACACTAACATGTAATAAAAGTGATATAGCAATATTCCAAAAACAAACATAATACATGATAACTAATGAACAGAAAATATAAATTGAAGATTCAAATAAGAAAATGAGGGAGTTGTAGGATACAAAAAGATCAGTAGAAGAGAGAAGCCATTCTAGAGTGTGATTGTGGAGTGAAGACAATCATAGGCATGAGGAGGAAGAAAGGGAGCAGGGAGGAGGAGTCCCACAGGTCTGTGGTAGAGGATTATTGTTGTGTTGGTATTAGGTGTGGTGTGGTGTGGTAATATACATCTGAAGAAAACCATAGACTTCTACCTGCGAACCATAGATAATATTGTAAACCAATGGAATCTCAGTTATAAAAAAAAGAAGAAAAATTCCTCCTTAAAGTAGATTAAATATTTTTAGAGCAAAATTTAGGAAGAAGTCAACATATTTCAGTACTTGTAATAAAACAAAAATAGATTTCAAAAAGCCATAAAGCGATACAATAACACACAAAAAAGACAATGGGTTAGAGATCAGAATGTTTGGTTAATTTTGTAATGTACACTACACTACTACTTCAGACTGTATTCTCAGATAAGTCATTTCTCCCATGTACTAGTTTCTGATCTTTAAAAGTGGAAAAAAAGATACATTACCTTTTTACTCATAAGGGAGCTGAGAACAGTTGAAACCCTGCTTGAGAAAATACTTGCATGTAAATAAGAAACAAGTCTGAACTTGACACCAGATGACTTCTATGTATAGCTACCTTGGTTTCATAAAGAAAGCAGTATAAACAATATTTATTCAGTAAGTCTTTTCAATGCAACATACTAGAATGACGCTTTATGTTTTCTTTGTTCAATATTATTTTGCTAACAAATATTTACTAATTTACATACTGGTTTTTCGTTCCTCTGGATCACTGTGTTGTAAAGTGCACTTGTTCGCCCACTTTTGAGCATTTGTTGTTGCTTCTTTGTTCCATTCCTAAAAGTCACAATGAAAAAGAAAAAAAAATACATGTTTAAAGGTTCAATTTCTATGAAGTACGTGATTGGTTGATTGATTTTTACTACTTTAAAACTTCTCCAGATGTTTTAATGTCATTGACATTAAAATATCTTTTCTTTAGGGTGTATTTATCTTCCCCACTGCCAGTTTTTTCATGAGAAGGCCAAAGGTGGTAGATTATCTAACAAAAGAAATAACTAATACAATATTTACTTAGGACAGTATAACTGCCACACCTAGGATATTTAACAATAGTGCTACTCTAAGTTCTGATCCACTTGTGAAATATCCTAATATTTAAGTAGTAATAAGCTGGCTTACATAATTCACAATTCCATTTGCAGTCCACTGAGTCCATAAGGAAGACATCTAATTTTTCTGAACTAGTGTGAACCACAGAAAGTGTGCTATTATTTGCCCAAAATGGCACTAATCCTTTGGTAAAAGATTGTTTCTTTTAGACTACAAAAGTTTGTGAACAACAATGCAATAGCTTCATAGTTCACTTCTAAAGATTTGATTTCTAATTCTGCCTTCCCATCTTAATAGCTTTGTAAGCTGGCAAATCATTAAACCACTAGAAAGAAAAGAATTCCCCTCCCCACATAGGACAGCTTAAATGAAATAATAAAACAGGGAAAGACGTTTGTAAGCCACAGAGTTCCTAAGAGAAGCCAGTACCAGCTGCCTCTCATAACACCTCTTGTCCACACCATTTACACTATTGCCTCTTACCATCTTTAGCATATTGCTGGCAGGTGGAGCTACTGATTTTCTTAGTTCATTGTGCTTATTTACAATTTCTCTTTGGATTTGTGTTTGGGTGGTTAATAAATTAGTAAAGGCTGGATTCTAAAGAGAAAAAAAAGGAGATCGTTATAAAGATTTCTGACAAGTGGCATGAGTAATTAAGTTAATTCAAGGAAACAAAGGCCGCTTTTAAAAGCATTCAGTTCAAACTAATATTAGTTGTCAAGCAATGACAATGAATCTAAGCCAAAGCTGTGATAAATAGGAAAGAAGTGGTTGGAAGCTTTGAAATTGAGATGCAATTACTGGCATAACAAAAGTGCTACAGATCACAAATGTCAATATTTGGTTTCAAGAAGGCATAAAATGCAATTTTTCTGTGCGAGAAGAATGATTGTATTTTACAACTACAAAGATACAGAAGAGGAACAGTAGGACATATTCATTCACATTTAGTCATGCAGCAGGAGGAATAACAGTGCTGATTCCTCTTAGACTTGAAGAGCATTTACTTGATATGATGTCTGTATTTAGAGAATGTTTAGTTCTAGTTCAAGAGTATTCAACACTCTAGTGCACAATTTTACTTACTATGAGTAGATGATACTATGGATACTCTATGGATATAGAGTTTTAAGAAGATATAAAATGATTTTCCAAAATTAAAAGAATCTCTATGGCAATTTAGGGAAGAAAATCATCCAGTTACTGAACTATTACTGACTTTATTTCATTTAGTAACAGAAATATAACTGACAAGACATTAAATCAGGCGCAGTTATTTTCCTGTGATCTTTGTTGTGTGTTATTTTTGAATGATTTTTATGCATGCATGGAGTTGGTCAAAGTAGGTGGTTTTGGGTGTGTAAATTATTTCCAAAAAGTTTAAACAATTTGATGACCACAAGAGTAAGATGTTATATGACCAAAATTTTGGAGCAGAAATATAACAGGTAGTGCCCTTTGTTGATCTTCCTGATGCCTTGGGATATTGTTCTCACATCCCCACAATACTGAGTTCCTTCAAAACTCTCCAAATCCTGACCACATTTTATCTCCACTCTATATTTACACTTTTATTTCTCCCCAACTTGTATACCCAAGGTCAGGGACCAACAATGAATGCCATTGTACTATAAACTCCGCACTGCTCCTGAGTCCTAGGTTAGAAAGGATCAGCATGAGATATTAATAATACTATCACCTCAAAGTATAAAACATCATCTCTGGGCATTTCCTATTGTTCCTAAAAAATCTGTTTAAAATGATTTCATTCATGCATGTCAACATTTGGTCCTTTAGAAAGAAGCTTTAATCTTACCCCTCCTTCTGCAGGTAAAGGTGGAAACAGCACAGCAATGAGAATCACCAGCACTGGGAGTAAAGCCATTTCTGGGGAGTAAGTCAAAGAGAACAAAGATGTGCATTGAAACATATAGTCTGTGGACCTCTAACCAACAGGGAGAAACTAATGTCATAACCTTGATTTTCTCAAAGCAATTGTGATTCCCAATTTGTAACATGAGAAGATTGTCATATAGCACCAAAAGAATCAACCTTATTTTTGGTAGGGGATATACAACCTTCTATCTAGTTCTGTTGCTCCCAAGCACATCAAAAAGCAAATGTGGGAAAAACAGATTTCTTCAGAGTTACATATGGAACTGGCGATGATTTTTCATCCCAGTTTGTATTTCAATCTCAGTTTTTTAAAGTTCATTTTTAATGTGCTCTCTATCGGTTTGCTATTCTTTATGAAAATTGGAGCTATATTCTTATATTTACACATGACCATAATCACATATCCAGAGTTGTGATAACACAGAAATAAATGAACACTTTATTAATGACTATTTCTCCAATGGAAGAATTAGAAATTAATCTTATTTTCTTTTTCATTCTTGTTTATATTTGAAACTTTTCTAGTACAGAAAAAACCAAATATGCCTAGTGAATATCTAAACTGTTCAAAATTGCTGAATTCATGATTTGATACAAAGTTTGTTTAATATCGTCTTTCCTAAGTTAGAAGACACTCAAATATTGTGTTGTCCATTCTTTTTTTTTTTTTTTTAAGGTTTATTTATTTATGCCTACAAGAACTGGGGTATGGGCAGAGGCATGGAGGGTGAGAGGATTCACTATAGACAGACTGGGGAGCAGAACAGGCAGACTGAATGAAGTATACTGCTGAGGGGAGCAGAGGGTGGAGCAGAGGTCTGCCATAGTATGTGAGTCACCTCTCTGGCTGAGGATTGAACTCATGTTGCAGTGGCTGCTGAGAACTTCACAGTGCTATGCTTTAATCAGCTGCACCACCAGGAAGGGCCCTCATGTTGTCCTTTCTTATAGTGTCACAAGAAAATTCCTTACCCTTTAGATGAAATAATAAAGACCATATTTAGGAAGGACTCATCTTCCCACCATTAGTCATAGAAATTGTTCATGATGAAAACTTACAGGAACACTATTTTGATTTATTTCCTGTGTGTGAGACTGATGCCCCCAATTTTTTAGAGGCAAGGAAATGCTATTTGTGGTACTTCTCAAAACTCACTGATGTGTAAATAGTAGACAACCAATACCTGTCCCATGTATTTCCTGTACTCTTAATAGTGTGTTCATAAAAGGAAAGGAGTGATTATCTATTAGCATGTGTAGTATATTATGATGTCTGATTTTACTCTCGTTATCTTATTGGGTATGAAAATATTTTACAGATGAAGAAATTGAAATTTAGAATGTTAATTAACTTGTTAAGTTTTTATTGTCAGAAATTAGCTTCGATTTCAATTTTGATGAACATTGAAAATAATGTTTTTAACTTGGAAATGTTTTTAACATGAAAAAAAGAATTCTAGTCTGTTTTGAACCATATGGCTAACCACCACCAGCCATACTTGAAAATTTTCAAATATAGACAAGAATAAGGAATACAATTAACTTGACATCATTCTCAGAAAAATTTTATCTACAATGTTTTGAATCATGTATAAATCTATTAAAATTATTTTATTAGTAGCAAAATAAAACTTTTTGACAAAATGTTCACACTAAAATGAGTATTATCACCTGTTGGTTCCCAAAGCAGGATGAAGTAACTGCTTTTATCTGTAGGAAGAAATGTAGAGAAAAAAATTTGCATACTATATATTAGACAATTTATAATAGGTCACATCACAATGTTACCTATTCCTTGACCCTCTTCCATCCTTATTCACCCAACTATCATCTTTGTTCCATATATGAGCATTTTTGACAAATAACCTCATTTTATTACATTTTAATAAAAATGTTCTGAATAAAAAAGATTTCTTACAGAAAAAAAACTTAAAAAGCAATGACATTTTGGTGATAGTATATTTTATGAAATAGTGATCATATTTTATTCCTTTAAACACACATTTAAACAAACATGGTTGAAAAGATTGGTGCCATTTTCCTTTTATGCGTTACTTACTAATGGAAAAATACTGTGCTCTTTCCTGCAGGTGTCTTAAAACCAGGATGGCATAGTTCTTTCCTAAGGTGCCTATAGGAGCAGCATGCTGTAGGGTTTCATACTCCTTGAAGAGGGGAGAAAAAGAATATGAAAATAAAAATGTAGATAGGTAGTATCAATCTGCACCACAAACTTAAAACTTGATTCACTGCTTAGTATTGTCCACCCACACTTTACTTGATCTCCCCATAAAGACCATAAACTTTTGAAATCTGCTTCTGTAACAGGGGACTGAAGACAAAGAATGTTAGAGGTGGGGTCCCCTGGGGGGCGTGCTGGTGAAGATTTTGCCCCTGCAAAATGGAACAAAGTATCAGTGTGGGTGGAGACTCTGATAAGAAATGTAAAGGATGGGCCCTCCTTGGTGG